CTATACCTTAATCAAACACATTCCATTTTACTTATTTCCCTTTTTCAAAGTAAAGTATTTCATAAGTCTGATCATTTTTTTATATTTCCACCAAGTCCCTTTCAGTTAAATGATACTCATTGGTGTAGAATTTCAGTGGTAGGAATCATTGACTAAGTTAGGCAACGTGGAAAAATAAATGTATTGATATTTAATGTTTAATCGCAATTTCTTTCTGAAAACGTAGATATGGTAGCATAACGTTATCTTTTTATCTCAGGCTTAGCCAGAAAGTATTATGGAATATAATCATCTTAGATTCTGCAGAGATGCTTCTTGGATTTTAATTCAAATTAACAGATATGTTTTGGTGTTGTAAGAGTTCAAAAATTCTATTAACTGTTGTAATTTTGAAAAGAAATAAAACCATATTTTTAAAAAATATTTTCTATGTTTCTAAGTTATTTTGTATCAGTAATATAAAAAAGCAATGGAACTGACATGGGTGTCATATAGTTAATATTTAAAAGAAATAAAACCATATTTTTAAAAAATATTTTCTATGTTTCTAAGTTATTTTGTATCAGTAATATAAAAAAGCAATGGAACTGACATGGGTGTCATATAGTTAATATTTAGCTTTAGAAGTAATGTTAAAATAGTTAATTACAAATAAAGTAGCTAATAAATTAACCAAATTTACAAATAAAAAGCAATTTTCAGTAGGATAAATTTCTTTGAAATCAGTTGGCACTTCATCTACAGTATGTTAGATTTGGGCTATTTGTCTGATAATCTATTAATAATTAATGAGCAGTCGTTCTAGTATTTAAAAGTCTGGAAAGATTTTGACAGCGGTTAGTGGTATTGACGTGTTCATTCCGTAATTTGTTTTCTAAGGTTAAAACAGTGGCCTCTGCATTAGTGTGGCAAATGGTATATGAACCATCACTAAGGGACAGGATGATTCTTGGTCTATTAGATTCTGTTTTTAGTTATTTCTCAAAGAGCTATAGGAGCCTAAATGTTTCAGAATGATTTATGAATTATGTAAGTTTAAGTGCTTTCTTGGATTGAGGCTTAAGTACAGTAAACTGCATTCAAAATTAAACTCTGCATGAAAGTAAACATTCTTAATGCTAACAACAGGTTCAGGCATAAAAATGACAGTACTTAGCTAAATGATAGCAGTAGAATGATTTTTGTAAAACACACAGGTCCTATATTTTTGTATCAAGCTTTTTAAAATAATCTTAAGGAAATTAAACAGTGGGACTGACATCAGTCTGGATGGCTATGATTATATCATGTTGCGATAAAGAACTTGCCTCTCACAAAGCCTAGTGTGTTCCATGATCAGTGAATTAATATTTAGTAGCTAGTATAGTTTTCACTTTTTAAAAAATAGATATGTTCAGTAGAAAATTTTGAAAATGTGTATATGGATTTGCTTAAAAGTTTAGAAACCAGAATCATGATTCCATTTTGCCTCCTTCTCTTTCTATTTTTGTAGAAATTATTCCAAATATTTATAAAAGTATTCTTCCCCACTACTATCTCTAATCTGGCCGTAGTTTACACTTCTGCAGAATTTGAATGAAAGATGCAGAAAGTACAACCCAACCCTATCACATTCCTTTTACAGAATTCAAAGTCTTGTAAGGCTGAAAGCATCTATTTCAGACCTTGAAACCCCACAACCCCCCTTCCTAAAATCAGGACTTGACCCCAGCCAGCCTTCCACATGCTGTGCTAAGCCTAACATGGCTCTTAAGTCAATGGAAGGTACACACTCCTGCACTAAGGAGTTAACCATTTGGCTTCATCCAATGCCTGATTACATGGAAAGAAGGCTCATTATTTCTGGTGGCATACTACTGGTTAATTGTATTAAAAATTGCAGGCTAGTTCAATAATGTATGGATTTTATGTCTACTTAATTATGGAAGGAAAAAGGGGAGGCATTGAAAATAAAAGTAAGGGGGCACAGAAAGTATCTCGTGCACCAGTAAGAAATAATTCATTGTGTAGAAGCCTGATTTTGGACAATTTCTTTATCAAGGACACCTGAAAACAAAACAAAATACTGCTTACACAATTTTATCTGTGTAAAGACCTCCATATCTGGGGTCAGAGGGACAATAAAATCAGCATTAACAGAATATATTGTTTAAACCTGCAGCAAAATAAATATATTTTATTATATTTGCATCTAGTTGTAAAAAACAAAAAATTGAAATGCAATTATATGAAATCTGTGAGTGTATGTACACACAGATCCATCTAGTGGCCCAAAGGGATATTAGCTAAGAATACAAAACTGCTTTCCATATCTAGTCAGTTGTGTACCCCAATAATTTTAACTGTTTTATAAAATATTCAGTTCACATATGAATGTTTCATGGGTATATTCTTTTTTCTCTTTTATCCTTTGATCAAGTCAATATACTGGGGTGACTGATTTGCATAGTACCTATTTATATTTTTTTCTCTACTATGACATTGAAAGGCCTTAAGCAAACCTGTATTTCTGATTCAGTCTCCCAACAGGGGACTAATGCAAGCCTGTTTTCATTGGAAGTTTTGAGACTCAGTCACCTAATGCTCATGAAATGTTTTTCAAATTCAGAAAAGTTGTTGATTGAGGCAATAAATAAATCCAATAAACAAGGTATTTTGTTTTCTATATTTCATTTCACAAATAGTAATAATCTTTGATTTTCAAAACTGCTTAAATTCAGGCCAAAAAAGAAAAAGAAAAGTATCTTTAATTCTGCTTTTAAAAGAAAAAATTATTGTAAAAATAGATTTGTTAAGCAGGTGCATTATACAATATAGATACTACTAAAGTACATCCATGCTTACAGAAAACAATACAATATTGACTTGTGCATTACAACATGCATCCAATAATCTCATACATTTGAACAATGTAATATAGCCTTCATATGTTATGTCCAGTGTAATCTGTATCTACGTTAGAAGGAGTTTACATTCAGGACTGGTATTGTTTTGTAAACTCAAACAGAAGAATGGCTTCACTTGTGCAAGAATGCTCTGCACCTATATAGAATGTGCTGTATATTTCAGCAGGAAACTGCAGCTCTCTGGAATACTTTGTAGGGAGAAGTGAAAGAAAAAAGTTTTTAAAAGCTGACTTCTACTTGTACAAATGCCAGATACAGCCCAATGCCCTGGCTCATGCAGTGTGCTAAGATTGCTTAACCATGGCTTATTCAATAAGCCATAATAATCTGGATTCTCATATTGTGCTAAATGGAAACCAAATAAACCAACTTATGGCTATTGTGCATTTAAAATGTATGTGCATTTTATGTGCAACTATGTGCATTTAAAATATATGCCTGTTCAGCTGAAATTAACAAAATATTTAACAGAGACGAGTTCAGTTTTCTTCACTTAGGAAACAAAAATCAAACAGTTGTATGAGGGATACCTTGCTTAGTAGACATTGTAGAACAGAAGGTGTATTAGTCTTTGGTAGCCAAAAATCAGAAGGAATCACTTTTTAAAACAGATTTTATTAAAAGACATAAGTTTTTGTGAGCTGCATCTGATGAAGCGATCTGCAGCTCATGAAAGCTTATGCCTTTTAATAAAATTACTGGTCTGATAAGGTGCTGTCAGATTCCTTCTGATTCATGCTTAGTAGCAGTACCTGTGATAATGATCTCGGAACAGTACTTGATTTTAAGAGCTGTGAAGACCTGGCTCCTCCCCTAGGCCCTCACCGAGGGAGAGTGAGACCTCTTGCTTCATTGCACTTGCCATCTTTAATCTTAATCTTTTATGTTTTATTGATTTTATTGTAATTTCTTTGAGTGTTGTGAGTCACCCAAGAATCGTTGAGTCAGGTGGCATACAAGTTTAATAAAGTATTGTTATTATTTTTATCTAAATATAAGCTGGTATAAAGATGTGACTGAAAAAGGTAAATGAAAGTTTCAGACTGTTTAACAGAAGTAGGATTTACAAATTGTGGAAAATAATTGTTCCATTTTATTCTCTTTTGGTCAGATCCCATCTTAAGTACTATGTCTAGTTCTGGACAATGCAATTTACGAAGGATTCAGTAATACTGGAAAAAGTTCAGAGAAGGACAATGAAGATGAGGAGATTACAAACTAAGCCTTATGAAAAAGAGATTGAAGGAGCTAGATACATTTAGCTGGAAAAAAGATGACTCTGGGATGTATGATAGCATTCTTCAAACACCTGAGATGATGTTACATAGAAGAAGATCAAGATCTGTTCCCTCTTCTTTCATAGGGCAGGACATGAAAAAATGGATTAAGTGACAGGAAGGCAGATACCAAGTGAATGTTAGAAAAAACATAAGAGCAGTTCAGCAGAGGAACCAGTTATCCAGAAAGGTGGTGGTCTCCCCTTCATTGAATATGTTCAGCTGAATTCTAGACAAGAATCTATATGGGATTTATTAATTTGGATTCCTGTCCTATGCAGGAGATTGGACTCTGTGGCCTAAATGGTCCTTTTCAACTCTGATTTTATAATGTGCTTTTTACCCAAATGAAGCTGCAGTGTTATTATATTGCTGAGCTCATTGCTAGAAAACTGATGGAAGGATGAATTTTGAATGTGTACAGATTATCATCTATACAGAGAACTGCAGATTTTGTGTGTTGAAAGCTCTTTAAGTCTGCTCAGTTGCTGTTTGAAAGAGTCTCCAGCCTTAAATAATGTTGCAAAGGCAAACTGCAAGGCCTACACAGAAATATATGAATACCAATATACTATGGGGGAAAAGTTAGCATGTTTATAAATTATTTTGTCTGGCTAATGCTTTTCATACTATATACTTTCACTTCTCTGGAATTCATCAGTATATTGTGCATGCTCTCTTGGTCAGTTTAACAAGGAAGTGTAACTAATAACTCTTTTCTTTCTCTTTATGTCCCATTCCTCTTTTGTCCATACCCTTCCATCTCTGTGTATCTCTTGTGCCTTTTATATTATTTTGGTACCCTTCCATTCTTCAGTGTGATCAAGATCAGTGCATTCAGAGCACTAAATTCGTTTTGCAGGCTGCTGCCACCCCACTCCTCCAGAGTGAGCCCAGCATAAGTAGTGAAGAGCTGCCTTTACCAGGAAAAAACACTCTTGGTGCTCCCTGTACCATGGTGACACTAGGACAACCAACACCCCCCTCTTCCATCCCAAATCTCACATCAGAAACAAGTTTGGCAGAAATGATACCATTAAAAGAGGACCCTGAAAGTCATCAGTTTCTTACTCCTGAAGAAGCTCCATCACCACCTGGGATGTTGCCACTTGGGTACTCCATGACACACAGCCGTACCATGCACAGCCTCAGCCTGGTTAGCCAGGATTCACTGCATGAAGACTCAGTGCGTGGCCTTGTAAAACTCAGCTCAGTCTAAGCAATTTAGAACATGACAATGGTTAAACCTTATTTAACTCCAACAGCAATGCAGCCTTTGGGCTTTGTGACATGTATACATCACTGAAAATTATTATGTAAAAAAACCTATTGAAAGGACAAATTATTTTTGTGCCGTGAAGTAAAAATTACATTTGTTTTATAGCCAATTTATTGGTGGCTTGGATTTGATGATTACATTGTTAAATAACAAATTCAGTTGAAATTTGTTTGGTGATTTATAATGTCCAGCAGCTTGGAATCCTGGTACTACAAACTTGATTATTATAGTACTTAAAACTATGAATGGATATAAGCATCATATTCCATGTTTTATGAAGTTCCTTGTTGTAATATCTCCTTTGTAGCCAGACAGTACTGTGCTACTCATATTTGAAACAGAAGATTACCATTTGATGAATGCAAAATCAATAAGGGTTGCAATTGTGGATTTGCATGCCACGCTACAGTGGGTGTTACAGTAGTGTTGGTATTTGAAAGACAGTGCTGCTTTACTGTTTGTAAGTACCAAAGTGCTGTTCATTGTAAGAGGCAGTACAACAAACAATATAATTTTTTTCAATCAACAGTTATAAATAAATGAACTGGTGGTATTTCAGTTATGGAGGATTACCTGTTTTTGCATATCATTTATTTTTAATGTGAAATAACATAACTGTGTTGTGCCATAACATAGATTTCTCTCTACCCATCCCCACCTGTGATCACATGAGATATTCAATAAGATGGCATTCTCTGTTTCTTTGAATATGTATATGTACAGTTATATCCATACAAAGCTGACGCAAAACAGCAATGTTGTAAAACAAATTACTTTTTTCCTAAGATTATACCATTAAGCAGCCCAAAGGAACCCCTAAGACCCAATTATGGATTGTTCTGAGTATTGTATGCAGTTTTATATATAACCTACTTAATTTTGTGATGCTATAAGGCTATAATTGATCTGCTTGTTAAAAATTACTTTACATTAGTGGGTTGGACTGAGAAATCTTCCATTTTCAAAAGGACTTTGATCCAGCAGAGGTTTCCACAAAAGATTGCTCCTTACATCATTTAAAAACATGCTCCACAAAGGGACCATATAGAACACCATGGAGTTGATGTGAAGGTATTGGGCAAGAAAGAGAACTGGTGAAAAGGGGGAGGGGGAAGCTTTCTCCCTCTTAATGATTTCAGGAGCTACCACTGTTCCTTGAGGGATTTCTTTAAAATTGAGGCTCATAGAAAAAGTAATGAGGAATCTTTCAGTAGAAGGCTTGAAAGGTAAAGATACTCATGTTCTTAACTTTGTTAGTAGACGGACAAAGGTCACTAGAAGGTCCCTAAGCTGTTTGTGATTGATAACTGCCATTCAGCCACCATTGTTATCAACTATGTTTCAATTTCAGTTTAAAATTGTGATTGATGCTTGATACTAGGAAATTTCTTATGGCTTAAAGAAAAGATATTCCCTCAGGGATAACAAACATAATATGAATTTAAATGTTGCAAACCATTGCATTTTGTCTTGGTTTTAAGATGCTAGGACCTGCAATACCCTTTTCTCAGGACAAAGTTTAGTGCAAAGTTTGGTGTGTGTGCGTGTTTGTGTGTATGCATATACACATACATACATACACACACAGACACACACACAGCATAACTGCAGGCAAGTACACTTAAAAACTGGGATTGCGAAGAAATGAATACATTGCATCTCAAAGAAACTGAAAAAATACCTTTAAAAGGAAAAAAAAAAGCACAATGTTTTAATTGGAATAAGGCCATCTCTACTATTACAGAAATGCCAGGTGACTTACTGCGAAGAAAAACCCTCACACTGTGTACAATTTTGTTTTTGTTTTTGTTTTTTTTTTGAGCAGCGATAACAGATTTTCATTTTATTTGCATGTATAGTAAATTATCTAGAGAAAAATCTTGATAACCAGAGATGTCTTTTTCCCATTTTACAGAAAGCTATGCATGGTTTGCAGTTATTTGACTGTGAAACATTAAAATGTTTACAGCTTTCATGTAAAGGGATATTGTCTCTTTTTCTGCCAGACCTCACAGGATTTATTTAAAATCCTGCATGTATTACTTTAGCGCATGCACATTCCAAAGGAAAAAAACTCGCTGGAGATATATTCTCTTCATGTAAGATTGATTACTGCATTGACAGGAATTACCAGAAACAAACAGCTGTAAATTTCATATAATAACAGGGAGTGGATGATCTGGGGAAGATTTATTGAGTTGAAGCAAAGGAGGTCAGCTTCCTCCAAAAACCCCTGTTTACTGTTTCCCTACAACAAACACCTCAAAGTTAACAATCCCAAAACTGGCTTGGTGAGTTCATGATAGGAAAGATGGGATGATAAACTCTGGGAATTTCTGAGCATAGCCTGGGTTATTGTTATTTTTATCACGAGCACTATGTGTTGGCTACACTTTTAGTGAGGAGAATCAAGATAGGGAAAAAAAGTGCATGACTTTTGCCTCAGTACGTTAAAATAGGATTTTAGCCATTCTTTAAAATCCAGGAGGCCTGCCTAGGTAGTAACTTGATGTAATTTATTTTTAAGAGACACAGATATTGGTAAGAACAGCGTATCTGTTTAACAAGCTTAGTATTTTACTAATTCAGCTGACACCAGAAGATAGAGCGTCCATTCCCTGCAGTGTAAAAAATCAACGATGTTAAATATTTTACTCTGCTGTTATTGCTTCACAGCTGTGAAGCTCACACAAAGGAATAGAAGTGTTTAAAAATTCATCGGCTCACATTTCCATAGAAATGCTTATTTTATTTCACTAGCCTTGTTTTGGATATCCTTGCCATTAGGAAACTGCACTGTCACACATGGTATGGACCCATTTGGGTTTGTTTGGTTTCTTTCAGTCTGGCAGGGGTGGAAGAAGGTTATCCTGTAGTTGTTCTTAAGCGCACCTCTCATTCAAAGCGTTCAAGTGCTGCGCTGCAACGTTGGAATACCTTCCTTGGCTTACTTAATGTTTGAGGGAAACAAAATGCTTATATACAGAAAAGTACTGTGAATACCTATTTTAGAACAAATTGATTCTTTTTGTTTGCATTGATGTTTAGTATTTTTTTGCTGTTTATACTATTTTTGACTTTATGTTGAAGAATAAAAATACAGCCTTTTTAAGCATTGCCTCCTGTCTTATGATTTGTTTCACTCAATTTGACCGTGCCTAAAAACCTATTTCTTTTATTTTACCATGACATTTTTTTATAGCCTACCCTTGCCTCATGATGACATCTGCTGGAAAATGCTGGGACTGAATCTGTCTTTTAAATGCAGCTGTTTTATTAATGGTATGTGGTAGTTCTGGAGGACTTAATCCTAACAGTAAACTTTCCAATATATAGGAGACTAATAGTCATTTTTCCACAAGCAAGACCTTTTTCATTTCATGAGCTGTAAATAGAATTCATTTAATCTGTCAATAATTTAGCTAACTCCATCTGTTATTGCTACCTTTGAATCTTCACCAGCTGTTTATAAAGTGGAGAAGCTAAAATAGCCTGGCTGGTAGTGATGCATATGGTAGCCCAATGCATATGGAGTGGAAAAGTCTAGTTTTTAGACAAAACTTGAATTTTTCTTCGTGATAATGTTTCACAATTATTATTTACTATCTAACAAAACAAATGATTCTTGTAAAAATCCTCATTGGCACAATTTCTTCATTATTTACTTGTTAGATTTATACCCCATCTTTCCTCCAGGAGCTCAAGGTTTTGCCCCTCAAAAAGCAACCTGAAGTAGGTTGGACTAAGATGGTAGAAACTATTTTGGGTATGGGGCTTCATTTCTTCCTTCTGTTCTACACTGGGACCACGGCAAATATGGCCTGCAGCATTATAATAGCTTTTGTGGTAGTTTAAAGAAATGAAATGGATGCATTAAACCTCTGTAAAGCTTGTCGTCTCTTAATCTCCATCAAAATATTCAAATCCTAGGAAATCTGAGGCTCAAAATGGGGTGCTGAAGCACCTCACTTAATGTAGATTGCCCAACCTGGGAGTGGCCCAAAATCATCTAGTACTCAATTTACTCAATTTTATGATGTTTGTGAATCTCTTGTCTATATACTTCGTGCTTTTCTTTTTGCTTCTTTTTGGATGTTCGGTTTTTTTTCCCTTTAAAATGTTCAATAAAATGAAATAAAAACATTTATTCTACATTTTAGAGAAAGTGTATGATAAAGTTCATAGGCTTGAATTATGGGACGTTTTACACAAATACAGAATTGAAGGTTGGTTGCTGAATGCAGGAAGAGCAGTGTGATGGAAGTTCAGTATGCGTGAGAATAAATCAAATGCTTAGCTTATAGTTCAACAGAGCAAGGGGTAAGACAAGCAGGTGTGTTTTCTCCTGGTTGTTTGAGTATTTTTGAATAAATGAATAATTATTATGGTGCTGTTAGGGGTGTGACGGTTGAGACATAAATGCATGTGTAATTTAGGTGCTAAATAATTGTAGACTGAATACAGAAATGAGTAACCAGTATACATATGAATGAGTTGAGAGGAAGAGGAAGATGGAGAAAAATGAAGTTGGATGGTGCTAATGAGCTCCTGAAGAAGAGAGGTGAGAAGTGTAAAGAAACAAAGATACAATGAAACACTGATTAGATGTACTGGAAGCAAGAATGGTTTGCAAGAAAAGTAAGGAGAGGTATAGCAAATCCTAGTGCTGTAAACTAGTTTTAGTTATTATCTTGTGACTTTAGTTTCTTTTGGTGATCACATCTTACTCCTTTTATGTGCCTTGTGTAATATTGCTTATCCTGAAACAGAATAGTGTGATGGGTGTATGTTTATATATGTATGCTTGTTTCTTTAGCATCCATGAAATCACATAATGGTATCTGCCACTTGATAAGGTTGCTGATCCTTGCTACAATCTCCTCTTGAATAAGAATATTTACCTTATTTACCCCAATTAATTTAAGTTGCCTTTTTCTGCACTTTTTCCAGCTCTACTGATTCCTTTCAGAGGTACTCTTACTTCCATGACTGAGTCAATGTAGTTTTAAATGAATGTGACCAGTTATACAAGGATGTAAAGCTTTACTAAGGCATCTGCAGAGAGTTTTACTTTGACAAGACCCTTGCTCAGTTCAAATGAGGTTCCCCCAAGATCTCAATGGCCCCAAATCTGCTGTGGTTTAGAAGAGCCATGAAGACTTGGCTCTTCACTCAGGCCTTCAGCAAGGGAGAATGAGACCCCTTCCATCTGGTCTATTGCACTTGCCATATTTTATCTTTTATATTTTATTTTATCTTTTTATTGCTTTTATTGTAATTTCTTTAACTGTGTGCCACCCAGAGTCCTTGAGTTACAAGTTTAAATAATAATAACAACAGCTGCTGGTGCTGATGCTAACCTACCAAAGAGAGTCAGGGTGGAAGCAGTGGGAAAAGCATCTGTGCAAGCACCAGGAAATTGGCAAGGCTTCTGCTTTCTTCCACAGAATAGAGGAAATGATTGATAAGAAATATCTATTGGAACTGGCGGGTGGAATGCCACTTGAAAAATGAAATTCATATTTGTCTGAATAAAGAGATGTAATCAGATCCCTTCTGAAATAACTCATGGCTCTTGTTCAGATATTTTGAAGCAAGGCTTCTGCTTTCTTCCACAGAATAGAGGAAATGATTGATAAGAAATATCTATTGGAACTGGCGGGGGGAATGCCACTTGAAAAATGAAATTCATATTTGTCTGAATAAAGAGATGTAATCAGATCCCTTCTGAAATAACTCATGGCTCTTGTTCAGATATTTTGAAGCAAGCAGGGCTTGGTTCTGGTTCTACTATAGCTTCTACCTAGATTATATTGGCCTGCTTGGTATTATCTAAAATAAATCTTGCCATTTCATTTAATCAGCTTAAACCATTTGTCAGTAGTCTAGCACAGTTAAATATAACTACTCCTTGTTTCTGTTTTGAGGACTGCATGAAAACCATGTCACATGGCTTCTATGACTTAAAGAACACAGGAAACATTAGTCACAGTTTCAGATCTCACTGAACAACATATGAATATTGTGCCTTTGCAAAAATAATTTAATTTGTGGTTGGGGAGAATATAATCCGCCTAAAGATCAGCCACAATTGCTGAAATCAATTCTCAAACATAGGTTAATGGTGGGAAACATTTTGAACCTCCTGCAGGTCACATCTACTGTAATAGTAGTAATAGATCAGAAACCTGCATATCCATACAAATATATACATACAAATTCACAATTCACAAATTCACTCCTGCCTTCCACCTTCAGGAAGATTTCCCTTCACCACTACCACCATTCCTCCTGGCCGGTAAAAACATCTCTAGTAGCAGCACCAATATAGCTTGCTATGGGGATATCAAGATTTTAAGTGTCCAAATTGGATCTTTGTAGTGGTTAATAATAGTATTATATAAATTACACATAATTTATATTTACATATAATTTATATAAAAAATGCCTCTGTACAAATCCATCTTGGGTACCAGTTGTGCTCTGACCATGGGCTTAGTCTCCTCTTGTTTGGACTATTGCAACATATTTTTCATGGGGCTGCCTCTGAAGAGCATTCAGAAGCTGCAGTTGGTCCAGAATACAGCAGCATATGCATTTTTTGGCTCACCATGGTGCACTCGTGCAATATAATTGCCAGATGAGCTGCACTGACTTCCTGTCGGCTTCTGGGTGCCAATCAAGGTGCTAGTATCACCTATAAGGCCTTATATGGCACAGGAGCAAGATACTTGAAGAACCACTGTCTCCAGTGGTTTCTGCCCATGCTACCAGCTCTGGCAAGGGTGTGTGCTCCAGGTCCCTTCTGTAAAACAGT